AGATGGCGACATGTAGGGCGGCAGGGAGGTCTGTGTGCAGGATGGCGGGCTGGGGCCAGGAGAGCTCTGTGGCTTCCCAGAGACTGCAGCTTTCACCAGAGCAGCCACCCCACCATACCCTTACCCCCTCCCCCACCATTCCACAACGCTGACCTCGTCCATGGAGCGCATGGAACTCAGCTTGACAAAGCCATCTCCGGCTGCTGGCTGTGATTGGCTCCCAGACAAGCACGTGGCCAGCGTGGGCCAATGGAAGTCCGGCCTGGACTCCCTAGCAGGGTTGCTGGGAGAGGCCGCTTGTCCCTCCTGACTCCCTCTGTCCTGGCCACATGAGCGGCTGCTGGAGGCAGAGCAGGGCTGATCCTGTTGGCTGTGCCCTCACTCTGTGCACTGCAGGCTGGTTTGTAGGGTACGTTTGTCACCTGGCTTCTATTGGGTTCAGACCTGGGAAGGCAGCAGCAGAGGCTGGAGGCAGGGAGGCGTAAGGGACTCCTTGCCTCCTCCCCGTCTTCCCACAGTCTTGGTGGTGGCTTCTTCTCTCCAGAACGACTATCCTTGGCACCTGTCCCCATGTCCACAGCTCTGGTTCTTGCTGGGCTCCCATAATATGATTTCTTCCCTGTGCTCCTGCAGGCCTTGGTTAGAAGAACCTCCCACCGCTGCCACTTCCTGAATGCCTCCACATCTCTTGTGGACTTCCTGGATCCTGTCCTTCCCACTTGAGGATACCACCAGGTTCCTGCCAGGATCTTGACGGATGCAGGGGCTTCTGAAAGCAGGCAGACTGATGGCTGAGAGTATCGTCTCCTAAATGAAGCCATGCCTGAAGCCCTACCTTTCAGTTGCCAAAGGGCCAGGAGACCCTGGGAGATGGATGTGCCCGCCATGGGCGTTCCAAGGACCCTGAGGCCCAGCAGTGTGGTGCTCTTGATGAAGCAGAGCTTTCTCGTGTCCTGCAACTTCCGCTGCTGCTCTGTCTGTTTCTGTGATACACCCTGAAAGGATTTAGGTGGACACTTCTGAGAGCAGTGAGGGAGGGTCCTCCAGTGCTCAGGGCAGGTCTGCAAGGAGGGGATGGGGAAAGCCCCATCCAGGGTCTGCGGGGAAGGCCAGGCCGCGGCTGCACAGGGGAAGTGCTCCTGGTTCCCTGGGCCTACAGAGAAAGGAGGCAGGAGCCGACCCCAAGGCGGTGGAGACACTGGTGCTCAGGGACAGCCCAGCCAGCCCCTCCTTCCCTCGGCCCCAGCCTTCTGCCTCCACTGGCTGGTCCTTTAGGACCACTGGGGTTTGTGCTTTTTTCCTTGGCAAATCTCTGAACTGATGAGTCCCAGCTCTGCCACCTCCTCACCGTGGGATCCCAGTCGAGGGGTTTAACCCCTCCTGCCTCGGCTTCCTTACCTGTAAGATGGGGACAGCAATAGCCTCTCCCTCAGAACTGGACATGAGACAAGCAGATGCCGGGTCTCCAGGCAGCAAGAGCTATCTCCACGAGCCCCGGGAAAGGCCCACCCCAAGAGAGCTTCCTGGTCATGCCGGCTGGGTCGCACACACGGGGCTCCACTGAGCTCCTGTTGGAACATGGTCACTGGGACAATAAATCCAGTGTCCCCCAGGGTCCGTGTGCGCATGATGGCTGTCCCTGCATGCGATTCCCGGCATCTACTCCAGCGGTGCGAGGGAGACTCTGGGCTGGGCGAGGGCCCAGGGAGCCGCCAGTGGGCATGGGGGCACAGCTGGGCCTGGAGGCTCTTTCCTGCTTGAGTTCCCCATCCACGCTGTGTGCTGGGGTCTGCACACCACTGGTGGGTTTTTTTGGTTTTTTTGAGTTGGAGTCTCACTCTGTCGCCCAGACTGGAGTGCAGTGGACGCTCCCGGCCACCGCAGCCTCGACCTGCTGGGCTCCGGTGATCCTTCCGCCTCAGCCTTCCAAGTAGCCGGAATTACAGGCACGTGCTACCACGCCCGGCTGATTTTTTGATTTATTGTAGAGATGAGGTCTCGCTGCCCAGGCGGGTCTTGAACCCACGGGCTCAGGCAATCCACTCACCTCAGCCTCCCAAAGGCATGGGATTACAGGCTGAGCCACTGAGCCTGGCTGGGTTTTTTTTTTTTCCTAAAGAAGCAGGTTATAAATAAAAGTGTAAATATCTCTATAAAACCCACATTCTCTCATTCCAGGAGGCAGAGCTGTCCCCCTTGAGCTGGAGCGTCTGTAAGCCAGGTCCTGTCTTCAAGGCCAATGCAAGCACCAGTTCTCGGAAGTCTGCCCTGATTTCTTTCCTGATGCACAGTGACAGCCAAGGTTGACCCCATTTGCCCTAGCTTATTTTGGAAGACTGAGGGTTCCTGAGGCAGGTACCCCAGCAGTGTGGGAGGAGCTGAGCCCCCAAAGGAGAACCAGAAGCAGCTGCTCTGCAGGCAAACTCTGGGCCCAGTGGAACCCCAGGATGTGCCCTGTGGCTGTGCGGTCGCACGGTCATGGGGCAGGTGACTCTGAGTGCTGGAGCCCTTCTGGCCTGAAGAAGCAGAAGACCCAGTTCAAATGGGCTTGAGCAAAAAGTCAAAAATACAGATGTGTGTTCATGTGTTGTGGACGTACTGTAATGCCTAGGAGGGGCCTCAGGAGCTGCTGGATCCAGGCGTTCACACCCTGGTGCTGACGCTGGGCTTCCTGCCACCCATGGTCACAGATTTTTGCTTGGGTTGGGGGGTGACCTGGAAGTCCCAAGGGCTCCCTCCTGATGGTGAGACAGGGCTGTGGCCACTCAACTGTCCTTGCAGTTCCACCCTGTGGGAAAAGTCTGACTTTTTTTCTGAGTGGCTTCACAGTAATTCCAAAGCTCACTCTGATTGGACTGTCTTAGACCATAGGACCAGCCCTGAACCAATCACTGCCCGGTGGGCCATAGTGCTCTGATTGGCTTAGACCCAGGTCACATGACCTGCCCTGCCATGGAGGAGAATGGCTCAAGTGGGGGAGGGTTGGGATCCATGGGACTTGGGAGCTAGCAGCAACCATCTGCTACCTGTGGCATCATGCCTGATCTAGAAAAGCTACCACAGACACAGGGAGGGGCAGGGGCTGCCGGGAGAAACTGGACTGAGGAGTGCTCAGCAGTATGGGCTACTGAACCCCTGACAGCCAAGCCCTGGTCCAGAGGGTCAACGGGTTCAGTCCCACAGGACTGGCCTTCAAGTCGGGGCAGGACAGGTGCAGTTCTGGGCCTGCCGTACAGTGCTGCGGCCATGCTGGGCGACCAAGGAGGCTTGGGAGTGCCCCATGGAAGTGCCACTGCAGTGCTGGACTCAGAAAAGGTGCCATTCCTCATGACAAGTGTATGGGATAAAACATGCAGGCCAGGAGGACAGATCCAGGCTCCTGCTGTGCTGACCCATTCCTTATGGCTAGAAGCCCCATGGGGGCACAGGCAGGAGGTGACGGGTACAGGACGTGTGAGGCTGGGCCCTGCCCACCCCCAAGTTGACCCCTCAACCCTGGAAGCTCCTGCAGGATAAGACTGTCCCTGTCTGCGGCTTCGGGCCACCTGGACAGTCTAAGCCACGGTGAGACTCATAGTGGGGCCTGGGCCACGTGACGGCTTGACCTCTGAAGGCCTGGAGGTCAAGCACAGCCACGTCCATGTGACCAACCCGGTGAGACTCTGTACCCGAGGTCCAGGGGGGCTTGCTGGGTGGGGACACCGGCACACACTGTCACACACCGGTGCTGGGAGGACCAAGTTGGGGACCCCTGAGAGAAGGCACTGGATGCTCGCGCCTGGCCCCTCCTGCCTGCCCTGCATCCTTCCCGTGATCTGATGTGATCTGTGTCCTTTCACCATGATAAACTACACCGGAGAACAGCTGTCCTGGTGAGTTCTGTGAGTTCGTCTAGCGAGCACCTGAGCCTGAGGGGTTCTTAGGGTCTTCCACCTACACCGCAGTCGAGAGCCGAGCTCATACCTGGCAGTTGTACTAGCCTGACATTGATGTTGACGTTGTCCTCCAGAATCCAGGACACACAGAAGCATCAACAATTCACGCACGTGAATGCACACACATGCTCACATGTGCCACACTCACACACATATGCATGTACACACCCCTAACCCAAACCCAAGGTGCTCAGGCCCCTCGCCTAAAACTGGTATCACATCAGGACACCACTGCATCCTGTTTACAGCCACGGGGCAGGCGGGACAGACATGCAGAGTTCCACGCCCCAAGCTCCTGGGCCGGGGGTTAGGGTAGTCCCTGGAGCTGGGTGGAAGCACAGCCCAGCCCGGCCAGACCTGTGGACGCGGCTCTGACATGGGGGACTCGATACTGTAGCTGGACCCTGAGGAGGATACCCATGGCCACTGCAGAGAAACCCGGGTGCTTGTGAATAGAGAAAGAGAGACAGAGAGAGAGAAAGAGGAAACAGAGACAGAGAGGCAGAGAGAGAGAGGAGGAGAGGCCGAGAAAGAGGTTAAGACAGAGACACAGAGAGAGAAGGAATGAGAGATTAAGAGAGAGACGAAGGGAGAGACAGAGAGATAGAGGGCAGGAGAGAGAGGCCGAGAGAGAGGCAGAGGGACAGAGACATACAGACAAAGAGACAGAGATAGAGAGAAGGAGAGAAATGCAGAGAGATAGAGATAGAGAAGTAGTGAGAGAGCGAGACAGAGGAAGAAACAGAGACAGAGAGGAGAGACAGGCCAAGAGAGGCAGAGACAGAGACATGATGAGAAAGAAGGAGAGAGAGTTGAGAGAGAGAAGGAGACAGAGACAGACAGAGAAGAAGAGAAACCAGAGAGAGACAGAGACAGAGAGAGAGGAGCAGAGACAGATGGGGAGAGGTCTCAGAAGTGGAGGCCTGCCACCTGGGCCCCGCCTCCCAGTGCTCCTGAGCTGCATGGCTGGGTCCTCTCCAAGAGCCTACTGCTGCGGGTACTGGGCCGTGCCCCAGCTTTCTGGAGGCCCAGGAGGTCCTGCGGGGGATTGGGGGAAGCACTCACTTTTTGGGCCGATAGTCGGGGATGGTCCTGTCCAGGGAGATGCGGTCACTGAGCTGTGCGTTGTAGCCATACTCCTCATACTTGCCCTCTGTCTCCTGGCTGTCATCCCGCAGGGTGGCTGCCAAGCCGCCCTGGCCCAGGCCCCCTGGCCCCTCCACCAGACCCATGGGCTTGGCGAGGCCTGGGAAACAGGAAGAGAAGAGTCAGGCCGACCCAGGCCACATCCCCCAGGAGACACCCCCGACTACCGCACAACCCTTGCTTTCAGGTGCGAGTCATGTCCTGCAGGGTCCAGAGCTTGAGACAGAAGAGGGTCAGCAGCTGCTGAAGTCAGTAGGAGAGGTGAGCAGGCAGAGCACGGAGCCTGTGTAGGGCGATGACTTACTCTACACGATGCCGTCATGGTGGATAATGTCCCTTGCATTTGTCCAATCCCACAGAATGTACAGAGCCAAGAGTGAACCCCAGTGTGAGTCGTGGCCATTAGTTAATAACATCACATCGGTATTGGTTCATCAGGTATAATAACAGATGCATACACTCAGTGTAAGACGTTCACACCAGGGCAAGATGTTTTTACCAGGACATGACATTCACACCAAGGGATGTTCACACCAGGGTAATCCATCACACCAGGGGACATTCACACCAGAGGGTGATGTTCACACCAAGGGATGATATTTACACCAGGGCACATTCACATCAGGGTAAGATACTCACACCAGGGGATGATGTCTACACCAGGAGATATTCACACCAGGGCAAGATGTTCACACCAGGGTAAGATATTCACACCAGGGTAAAACATTCATACCAGGGTAAGACATCCCACCAGGGGACGTTCACACCAGGGTAAGATGTTCATACCAAGGGACAATGTTCACACAAAGGGACATTCACACCAGGGTAAGATGTTCACATCAGGGAATGTTCACACCAGGGTAAGATGTTCATCAGGGGATAACATTCACACAAGGGGATGATGTTCACACCAGGGGACGCTGCCTGTGAGAGGAGTGGGAAGGTGGGAACTCTGCTCAACTTTTCTGTAAACTGACGCTGCTCTAATCAGTAATGTCTATTAATGTTAAAAAAATTAACTTAGAAATTGCAAATAATTTTTAAATATTAAAATGTTGAAATGCCCAGCCATTACTGGGCCTTGACAGCCCTCAGCGGGGTCTGGGGTAAAACGGGGCACCTGGAGGAGGCCAGGGTGTCATGTCGAGCGGGAGGATCCTGACAGGAGGAATCTCACTGCAGGACTCCAACACAGAGTTCCAGAGCAGACAAAACACACAGTGGGGATGGGCGGGTCCCTGGGGGTGGCCACTGGAAGGAGCCCATGGAACTTGGGCCCAAGAGGCTCTGCGTCTCGCTTGGGGGGTGTGGAACAGGTGCCTGTGAGGGCCAGGCTGAGGAGAGTTCCGGGGATCAGCTGGGCCAGGACAGAGGAAACGGGACCAGGACAGTGTCCCCTAGGCAAGGATGGCACACTTGGCCCTCTCTGAGCAGGGAGACTTGGTGGCACCTTGGCTTTGAGGATGGGCGCCGGGGATGGTGATTTCAGCCAGAAGAAGGCAGCTGGCCTCTATCCCCGATCAACCTTCCACTGGCCTGCACGGAAAGGTCTCTGGTCCCCCGCCTCAGGCCAGCAGACATGCAAACCCAAAAAGTATTCACCATAACACCCCACTGGGAGGCCCTGCTCTTGCGGCCCCCGCTCCAGGCCAGGCAAGGTCTCTATGGGATTCCTGCCCTGGTGAGGGTGCAGACACCAGGGGATGATCCCAGCCCAGCCACCCCCAGCACCACATGGCCAGGGGCTTCTCTGCCTGGCAGAACCACAGCCTTGAGCCTTGCAGGACCTCTGAACTTGCTGGGATATTCCATCTTAAATGGGCAAAAAAGTGTTTTATTTATGTAGGACTGAAGGTACACATTAGACGCAGAATTGAAACTACATGGCACAAATCACTTCCACTCTCTTTTTTTTGAGTTGGAATCTGGCTCCATGGCCCTGACTGGAGTCCAGTAACATGCTCACAGCCTCCCCAGTGTCTGGTGATCTTTCTGCCTCAGCCTTCTGAGCAGTCGGAATTACAGGCGCATGCGACCATACCCAGGCAATCCACTTGCCTCAGCCTCCCAAAGTGCTGGGATTACAGGCTAAGCCACCAAGCCCAGCCCACTTCTTATTTTTATTTTCATATTGCAAAATAAATATGTAATCCTGCTATTTTTAAACATCTTCATCATACCTGGCATTTCTCAAGTGGGAAAGTTTAGAAGTGAAGGCTCTGAAGGCAGACAAGGCAGCTCCCAACTTGAAAAAGAGTGACAGGGCCCCAGAGAGTGACTTGCCACTAAGGTGGGCTGAGCTGTGGGGGTGGGCGGGGCTGTTGGTGGGCAGGGCTGTCTGGGGGTGGCTGGGCCTGTTCAGGGGCATGGCTGGGGCTTTCTGTGGGTAACCAGGGAGGGCAGGTCTGTCAGGGTGGGCAGGGCTGTCTGGGGGTGGCTGGGGCTGTTCAGGGGCATGGCTGGGGCTTTTTACAGGTAGCCAGGGTGAGCGGGGCTGTCCAGGGTGCCCAGTGCCCACTATCAGGGCATCACTTTCTCACGTGAACAAGTACAACACACACCTGTAGAAACTCCTGATGATCCAGACACTGTAAAGTGACACGTTAATGTCACACTCTGCAAGCCCCACATGCCCAAAGAAGTCCTTTTTTCTGAGCTGCTCTGGTGTTGTCTGCCCCCCGTGCATGCTAGGCTTAGTGTCTGCTTCCAGCTCTGGCACATATGTTCTCTGGTCACCTACTGGCACCCGGTGCTACACGCGGGTGAGTGGGTCAGGGGCACAAGTGCCGACCCCAAACTCGGGGCAGCAGCGGGCCAAGGCCCTGGTCTGCGCCCCAAGGCCTGTGGGGCTCCTCAGGTACACAGCTGCCCGGGACTGTGGGTCTCAGCCCAGCAGCACCGCCCAGAGCCCTGTCGAAACGCAGACACAGGCCCAGAGGGGCTCTGACTGCATGTCCACATGGGTAGGAGAACCTGCCTCTCAGGGGCCTGAGCTGGCCTGCTGGTTGGGACCCCCTCAGGGCCCCCAGCTGCAGACTCAGGTCTCATGGCCTCTTGCTCACCCTGCTCTAGGGAGATCGGTGTCCATACAGACCTACCTGTGTCCATGAAGCGGTGAGGGGGCAAAGCGGGGACTCTGGCTGGGGACTCGCAGTCCTAGGGGGGTAGTAGACCCTGGCAGCTGGCCCCTTCTGGGCAGGGGTGCTGTCAGGCCTCAGCTTCCCCACTGCGGTACCCTCGGTTGAAAATCCTCAGGTTTGATCTCGCTTTTCAGGAAGCCATGCATGGGGGCCTCCCAGTGGGACTTGTGGGTCCTCGCCCCGTGTCTGTCTCATTGTCCACGTCACTTCAAGTCTCCTCACTGTCCTCCTAGAGAAGCAGGGAAGCCTGATCCCACTAGGAGCCCCGGGTTGCTGGGGAAGGACAGCTGAGGGCGTGAATCCACCTTGCTGGACCCCGCGGAGTTGGGAGGCCAAGTCCACTCAATCTGCATCAGATGGAGCCACCCACATGCCTGTTGCACCAGGGCCTGATGGGGAGCCGCAGGGTGATCCCTGCAGCCAAAGGGGCAGGAGATGACTCCTTCCTGGGAAGCCAGCTGGGCAGGAACAGGGGGACAAAATGGAAGGCTGGGCTCTGCAGACTGTTGTGCGCTGATCGCATCCTCCAAAAAGATACGTGAGGTCCTGGCCCTGGCCCACCAACACGACCTTCCTCGGAAATAGTCTTTGCAGATGTCCCAGGCAGGGCCTGCATCCTCATGCTCCACCCAGTTGCTGCCCTTGGAGTGTGTCCCGGGGCTGCCCTAGGCACCCACAGAAGGGTACTCCAGACCGGACCCCTGCAGGGCAGGTCAAGGGCTCCCTGTCCACACGCCATGCCCCAGTCAGAGCTGGAGACAGGGAGGCCTGTGCGCACACCCCCGCCCTGTGCAGCCAGGACTGAGGGGCCAGGGTGGGGGGGAGAGTCTGAACACAGACCCAAGGGGGACATGGGGCCCTCAATGCCTGCAGGGGTGCTGGCCAGCCCCTCCCTGACTGGCAGAAATGGCTGGCCCCATCTTCCCAGGCCTTGGACGGGTGTGGGTCTTGGCAGGCTCAAGAGGGGCCTCCACCACCTGTGCCCCAGTCTCAAGACACTGAAGCCTCCCAGTGAAAGTATTGTCTAGGCTGTTTATACTTTCAGGTCTTACATTTAAGTCTCTGATTCAGCTTGAGTTAATTTCTGTATATGGTAATAAAAAAAAAAAAAAATCATTGTCCTGGCTGGGCTCAGTGTCACATGCGTATAATCTCATCACTTTGGGAGGCTAAGGAGGGAGGATCACTTGAGGCTAAGAGTTTGAGACCAGCCTAAGCAACATAGTGAGGCCTCATCTCTACAGATAAAATAATTGTCCAAAGCACCTGCCACGGGATCGGCAGGAAGTCTCCGATGTCTTAATGAAAACCTTTGGCCCCGTCTACAGTCCTTTGCATGATTGTGTGAACATCTGCTTGACAACTTCCCTGTGCTCACACACATACCTGTCACTTATTTATCAGCTGCATACATAGAGTGGCTTGCTTGTTTCAGAAGTCGACTGGGGTAGCCATGGATATTGTGCTCATCTCGGTGCCAAGTGACTCTCCAGAGGGCTTGTCTTCATGTCACTGTGCTGCCAGCAACACTGCACACCCGGCCTTTGCCTGCTCCCGTGTTGATGGAAGAGGAGGACTGTTCTGGGAGCTGGGTATGGGTGCTGCGCTTGTTCCCTCAGTTCACCCCACCCTCAGTGACTACTCCGCCCCGTACTGTTCTGGGGGAGGGCCTGTGGCCGCGGCCTAGGAAGCTTTATCACTAATACTCGTCACAGGCCTGGTACACAGCAGGCATCGAGGGAATACTTTGTGGCACTGAATGAATGATTCTCTCCATGCCACTTTGAGGTGCTGAGTAACCTCAGAAAAGTCACTTCAAACTCTCGGGACCTCAGATGCTCCGTATGTAAAACGGGGAAAATAATAAATTTAGGAAATGTAGCACTTCCCTAGAAATGTGATTTTGAGGCTGAACCCAGATTTTGGAACTCTGAGGTGCGTTACGCAAATGTAAAGGTTAAAAGA